GAGAGAGAGAGAGAGAGAGAGAGAGAAAGAGAAAGAGAAAGAGAGAGAGAGAGATGTATTAGTAACATGTTTAATTTGTTTATAGACTTACGTAAGAAACATGTCAATCAATTGTCCGATTAGTCCAGTATTGGGTGCAATGAGTGGTGTTTGCGAGACCTCACAAATAGCCCTTTGAAGACAACTCCTTCCTAATGTCTTATGACTTATTTCTATAGTCTATAGGTTTATTCAAAATAAACAAAAATTGTTAACCATTTGACGTAATTATAGTTGACATATTTAACTATAGCTTCATTAGATATGCTATTTTGCACCACATTCTTAGTAATTGCTTATTTATAAATTAATGAATTGAAAACAATTAATAGACTAATGAAATAAATATTTGATTATTTTCCTTTCAAGTCAGTGTTTTCTATTTGATTATAACTGACTTGTGAACAAAAAAAAACATTTATAAATCTATATATAGTTTCTATTGTTTTTACGAAAATATTTAAATTCAATGCAATATATAATTATTTAATTATTTAACAGTATTGTATGTTATCAGGCCATTAATTAAAAACCTAATTTGTATTAGTTTAGGTTAGACTCCAGGTCATACCTTATAAAACTGAGTTCTGGCGTGCGATCGACTAGTATTAGCCAATTTCTTTTGCAAATGTATTTGATGGCTGTCCTGATGGCTATTATGGTCATGAATGACATCAGACCCATCACTATCATTGGCAGCACCAGTAGCATCAGAATCCATGCGATTAGCACTACCACTGGCAACAGAACCAGAAATATTGGCACCAGTAGTAGTATCGCCAGAATTTCCATTTGTTTTACTACTAAGCGATTCTGTGAGAGCACCGGCATTGGATATCGGGTTTAAATTTGCTATAAATTCAAAATTGTTAAATTAGTTGACAATCTAATAAATTACCTAGTTATAATTATCTAGTAATAATTACCTAATAATTGAGATAAAGTCAGACCAAATGAATTGAGATTTTTAGTCAGACCCTGGGCTTTGTCAACCAACACCTGTTTAATCCATTCAGACATCAACTGATATTGTGACTGAAATTTCACTTTAATGGGGAGTCCTATGGACAGACCCGACGCCACACTCCCCGTCAGTTCGGTTGGGATCTGGATTTTGGGCGTAATTGTGAGGATACCGGAGCTGAATATGAATAGCCTTTGGGTTCGCAGACATTAGCGATAAATAAATGATTAACAAAGAAATGAAAATAATTAATTAACATTGAAATAAAAACCTCTGATATTTTTGGGGTCGGGATGTGTGGTTAAGTGGCGAACAGTTTTTGTCGACCACTTTGCTCTCGATTTCAATTATAATACAGATTATTGTTAAATATTTAAATAATATATGAATATAGCGGTGTTTAGTAAATAGTAGGTTTGGTGACCAAATACCTGTGAAAATAAACATTACTTTTATTATTCACAAAAATATTTATTGTAAAAATATTGTTTCACAAAACTATGAAACAAGTCATACCTTTGTTTTTATACCTCCAGGAAATGGACAGTGAAATGAAAACAAAATTATATTTTTCTACAAACAAACAACAGAATTATTAATTTATTTTCTTAGGTTTTTCACATTGAAATATAAATGTTGAATGATTTTACAGAAATGTCTAATAAAATGCATTTCCAAGTCATTGAATGGATATGTTTGTAAACTATAACCGTTATAGTCTAACCTAATGTATAGTTGAGGTCATATAATTTATTCTGCTATTAATTATAGCTAAAAGTGTTAAATCTAATTAATAATATACTTGTGATCTTAGGGTTCACTGGGATCTCAAACTTTCCGTTCAAACCTGTGGTCATATTGTATTGAATACTGTGTTTTAGTCTTTAATTTATTGATGAGTCGGTCAACACCTCAAAGTAATGATAATTAAATACAATGATAAGTATACTGTATACTTATAAGGTATACTGTACTTCACTGTACAATAAGTTCAAACAAACTAGACAATTCAGGTTAACTGACCTATCATTTGATCAATGTAGAGCTGAATCATTGTTTATCTAAACAGGTACAATTATTTATTGATAAACTCTCTGTGTTATAGCCTACTCACTTGATTCTCACACAATTGCTTAATGAGATTAAAAAGAATTATAATTTTTACTAAATCATTATACAGTACTATATTTTTATTATTTTATAATTATATACAGAATTATAGCTAAAACTAGATTAATAAATGTTAAAATTGAATTAAATGTATTAAATAAATGGATAAATTGAAAAATAAAAAATAACAATAAATGTCCAAAATTGAGACATACAAAAATAATACTATAAATAATAGTCAATTATATAAATTATAAGTAATATAATAAAAACCTAAATATAATCTAATGGTTAATACTAGTAGTGATGTGCATAATAGTAGTGTGGCTTATGGTGGGCATAGTGTCCATGACTGTGACCGTGGGTGCCCTGCGAGCCATGAGTGTAGCCGTGACTGTGATGTCCATCAGCTATATATCAAAGGGAAAGGCATTTATTTTGTAAAAACTCATTCATTAAAAATATAAAATGCAGTAAAACTCAATTTTCATATAAAAACTGAATATTAATTAGAGTAATATTGTATAAAATAGTATTGATTTTCCAAATAATTACAGTTATGAGCGCCGTGTGCGCCATACGCCTGATGTCCATGTGATCCATGTTGGTCGTGATGGTAGTGCCGGCCGTGGTCTACGTGGTTGTGCTGTGCATGACTGGCCCCGTATATATTGGCTGCCTTTTTGAAGCTAGCATTATATTTGTTAATTAAAATCATTTAAAAAAATATTTAGATATTTCTAGATCTAAACTATTTAATTGTATAATAAAATAAATATTAAAAAAATTTCTAATATAATTAACTTCTATCTAAACATTTAATATAGCCAAGATGCTTATAAAATTGAAGTTACAGTAGTAATAAACATAAAATAATTGTATTATCGAAATGAATACCCATTTTCCTTATCCCACGACCACTTCTTCACATACCCATCTCCTACTCAAACCAAATATATTAATAAAATGTTAATAAAAAACAAATAAATAATCATTTAAAATGTAAACACCTTTATCTTTATGCCACTGGGCCTTATCCACCCAATCCCCATAATGTCCCGCATGACTACCGCTCCCATATTTGCCCCAATGGTTGCCGTGATGTGCGGCTGAATGACTATCCCATCCAGTATTGCCTTATATTTGATTTAAAAAACGCATTCAATTATTTAGTACAAAAAAAGTATTGATTTTAGTGTCATATGAAGTAAAAATATATTCATAATCCACATAATATTTGTATAGTGGGGGAGGACTGGGACTAAATAATAAATTTTACCATAATTATTGTGATACCCATTACTTCCGTGACCACTGGAATCCCACGCTTTGCTATTAGAAAATCATTTTATTAATTATATTAATACTATTTTGGTGCATCTATTTTTAAATTTACTTTTAATGCATTAATTGTGTAAAAATTTACTAAAAATAGACCCTTTTTATTAATCCATTATAAGTTTTATTACTATAGAATATTTGTCAAGCTATTGAATACTAATAAAAAAATTGTTTTCATTTACTTAATAGAAAACGAAATATAATATCAAATACTACTACAATAATCAATAGATGAGTGAAAAAGCAAACATTAAGTCATAAGACTTATTATTAAATCTCATTAGGATTTTATGTCACAAACACGATCAACATTTTTATTCATACCTGTGCTCATACAGTACAGTACAGTACAGTACTAAATGCAAATGTGCTATCATTAACGCTATAATTGCACTAATATGCTAATCAAATTCATTTTCATATTTGCCTCATCACTGAAAAACATAACTAATATTTTTTAAAATTAATTAGAATTAAAATTTTATTTAATTATTTTTTGAATTTTGATAATTATAATGTAGAAACTAGTATACAGTACATATTAAAATCAAATGGCACTCATACTTATAGTCTGTATGGTGGCTGTGTCCACTGTGGTGACCGCCATACCCGTCCCCACCTCCATGTCCCCCGTGGTGGGAGCCGTGGTGTGCGTGGAGGTGTCCGTGAGAGTGATAATGCTTTGGATAGTGTTTACTATAGGAGTAACTGTGAGGGCTGTGGTAGTTGTGCGAGTGATAGGTGGGCGTCGAGTGGTGCGGTGTCGGGTGGTACTGGTGATGGTATGTGGAGGAATGGGGCTGAGAGTGATGGGGGTACTGGTGGTGATAGTGGTGTGGGTAACTGTGCTGATAGTGATAGCCCGCCGATGTGTCCAAGTCTTCGACCGAATAGATGATAGTTTTGCCACTGAATTGATTGGTTGTGTTCTCACTGTTGATAACTGTTATGACACTCAATGATATCAATAGGTTTTTCAGACAAAACATAATTTTCATACAAAACACACACAAAAGCTTTTCCTAAACTTTTTTACAAATCATTTGTAAAAGTTTTATCGTGTTATATAAGTTATAAAATTAATACATTTTATCTGTTTTTGTTACCAAAGAGTTGTAAAATGAAATTTTTATAAAACTTATGCTTTTATATGAAAGTCAAACAAAGATTTCATTTCTTGTGAAAGTTTTATGAAAAATAATTTCTTATGTCTAGTACTAAATTACATATGATTTTCACATTTATTTCATCTATGAATGACATTTTTAATTAAAATACTGAATTAAATTATTATTGTATCTACTAATAATTTATAATTTACAATTAAATTAAATTTTACAATTCAATGTTGTATTTACTATATTCTAATTTATAAAACATGTTTATATTTCTTACAATAATTTTAAAAACAAAAGCTATGGGAATAGTCGGAAGTGTTTTTACTAAAATAATATGAATGAAATGCAATTTTGGTTTACTTTGGAAAGTCAGACTTTTGATAAATGCTGAGATTATAGTAAATAATAGTAAAGGTAAGGTCCATATTCTGGCACTAGATTTCAATATAAAGAGTAGGGTATTGTCTGGGGATTTGTTTGATATGTGGTAATAGTGTGAAATGTTTTCAACATTATATTAAACTGTTATGAACTTTACATCCTATGTACTTTTTCTACACTGTTGTTCAAATAGTCCGACCGTAAAGTCTACCGAAATTAAATGTAAAAAAATTATACCAAAAATTGTAAACATTTATAATGAACTTTATATTACATACAACAAATTAACTAATCTAAATCAATAGGTCAACTAATTATTCATTGGTTTTTCATAGTGTCAATTATAAAGAGATATTTTGAAACTTAAGTTGTATTTTATTAACAATAATATTGACAACATTTAGTAGCACGAGTAAATTACTTTGAACAGTCATTTGAACACAAGTTTTGTTGAGTAGTTTTTCATCGATATACATAACTGATCAGTGATAATCTAGTTTTTAAGATTTTTCACAATGTATTAGGTAGGCTTCTTGCTACAAGTGCATCAGGGTAAAAATACTTTTTAATTCAAACTAACTTGTTTTGATCGATTTCTAACTGTTCAATATCTATAAATACAACTTTCAAAGACTTCTTGGAACTTTTAATTTCAAAAAAGCATTATACAATTGTCATATATATTATAAACGAATGAAAAGTTATAAAAATGTTAACTAAACGTCCAAGTAGAAAGGTTTTATAGAAACCATTGTATATCAGATTTATATTAAATACAAAAATAGGATTTTGGCATAAATTTTATTATAAAGTATACAAAAAACATAACAAAAATACATTATAAACATGCATTGTATAACTATATACGATATATAGTGTTTTATATTATTATATATTTGTTTTGTGTTAAGTAAATCCTTAGTAGTAATATAGCATTAATATTTGTATTCATAAATCAATTACCAGATATATATTGTGCTATAAATAAATGGATTTATGATATAAACAAATAAAAAATATCGAAATAAATATATTAACGTTACAACAGAAAAAGATTTGCTATTTATATATAAAAATCATTGTCATTAGGGGTGAACAATTAAAGTAATTTATAATTAAGGTTTTGTTTCAATAACTTATTTTATATAAGTAATTTATATTTTTTAGATTTAATTTAAAATAATTATCAAAATATCATTGATATTATTAATTTGTTCAAAATCATGTAGAACTAGGGTGACCAGAAAATTTTGAGTACCAAGGAGCACATTTGCCATAAATGTAATGTTATGGGGAGGACGTGAGGAGGACAGGCTATTTTCAAATCCGAATTAATTATTTGTCTGTATACACTTAAATAACTTAAAATACTCATCAAATAAATTCAAGATATTCTTACAAAATAATTAAATTTTAAATAATTAACTTTATAAAACTACTATATTTATTGAGGCGAGTATGAACTTTATTTGATAAAACAATCTTTAAATAGTATTTTGTCAAAAATAGTATTGAATTGAATAATACAATCGTATTTATATACACATACTTACTATAAAACATTTAAAATTAGCAAAAAATATACATTTTTATGCGATTTATGTCCAAGGAGGACATCTCAATGTCATCCTCAGACACCGGGGAGGACAGTGTTTTGAGGGATCCAAAGGAGGACAACCCTCCCTACGGAGGACGTTCTGGTCACCCTATGTAGAACTTATAAAATTTAATAATTTAAAAATTGTTTATTGTTTAAGTGGTGAATTTATATATATAAAGGCATTTTACCTGGTTTACTAAAAATATTCAGTTAAATTTCTCTTAACAATTAAATTCAATTATTTGTTTGAATTTCTATTAATAATTTTTTTTATAAATATCTAATTTTAATTTTGAAATATAAATTTTAATTGTTAATTATTTATAGTAAATTCTATTTAAAACAGTTCTTGTTACAAATGACATTTTGTATGTTAATTGGATTCTCAGTCTAAATAAAGTTTTCCAGTACATTTCCAATTCATTAAAGAAATTTTAATGAAGTATGTATTTTATAATTAGAATTCTATGCTAAACCAGTTTATTAACATTTTATACATCTCAAAAATCATTAATTCAAATAACAATTTGTCTACTAATTTAAATAAATAACTCATAATTTTTACTTATTATTTGTAATCCTTGTAAATACTAAAAATAATATATTTATACTTTACACCCACTGTGCCTACTAATATGTAATGAATATCTTGACATTTACACTGTTTAATAAATTAATACAATATGGACTATAAAACATTTATTAATAATATTATACATTTGCTATATTTAAAATTCAGATTTTATATAATATTATTATCTATTATTAAAATAAATGAAAAGGCAAATTTTTAAACACTATTAATAGAAATTCTTGTATTAAATGTTGTTAAAGTAAATGTATTTATCAAGATTGTTTTTGCATCAATTCCCTAGAATAAAATAATTGGAGACAGATTAATTTTAAGTCTAATAAAAAATAAGTGACATTTATGCATACTTAACGTTAAATGTTAAATATAAAATATAACCTTTATATAATAAGTTTCATTATACCTATCCATGTTTACTTAATTGGAGACAGATTAATTTTAAGTCTAATAAAAAATAAGTGACATTTATGCATACTTAACGTTAAATGTTAAATATAAAATATAACCTTTATATAATAAGTTTCATTATACCTATCCATGTTTACCACATAAGTTATAACCAAATTGCGAAATAAAACTTTAAGTATTATATTATTATATTTTAAATTTGATCTATTGATTCTGGCATTTATAATATAATATAATATAAATATATATATATATATATATATTTATAATATCACATATCCGCCCACATAATACAAGTCATGTATTTATTATGCAATCATTTATTAGGCGGCAATATTTGTCCCCAGATTTATCGCTAGTTTATACTTTGAGAAACTATTGTATTCACATCTCAAGCATACATACGTAAGATTTATATAATGTATTTAAAATTATAAATTAGCTAATCTTGATAAGATTCATAACATCTGAAATGATTTCACGAAATGAGTCTTTCAAACGACTGTAATATTAAACTGTATATTAAATAGTATTTTATTTTCAACTGTAATATTAAATTTTATTACATTTTGTTTGAACTTTGTATTTATAGTTAAAAATATGTTTATAAAGAATTTATTAAGATTCGTGTCCTTTTTGTCTATAAAATATTTTATGGCATATTCATACTAGATACGTTTTTAATGGATTCATATTTAAAGTATACATGATTTATCTGTTTGAATCAACTTAAATGTGCAAGTTGAGCTAACCCTATTATAATAATGTGATTTTAATACTAATATAATAGTTTGAAAATTTTGTATTTTAGAAAAACTTATTTAAAAATAAAGTATTCGTAGAATATGTAATTTAATTAATTTATTCAGTAATTTATCAAATTACAATTGAAATTTAATATCAACTAACATGTGAGTAAAATGCGGACAAAACGACATAAAAACAAAAATTATAAAATATAATATAATAAAATCAGAAAATAACTTATCATTAGTTCATTAATGACATTATAAGATTTATTATTTTTTACATTGACGTCCGTGTACTATAGTATGGAAAACAAATTAGTAGACATATGAGCATGTTCCTAATATCGATAGAAATAAAATGTTTTCAAATATCTTATTAAATATAACTGTTGACAATATTATTAAAGTAATAATTAAAGAATAAGTACTAAATAAATGATAAAACATATTGTGTCAATCAAAATACATAACAAAAATGAAAATGATTTGTAGTAGTTCAATCGACAGTACTGTATATTGTATTTCAATTTTATTTACCATTTGAAAAGGATATAAATACATGTTTGAACCATTTGCACGTCTAATTAAATATTGATATAACAGTGCACTAAAGCTTATATAAAAAGTGTTTTTATTTTCATATAATAAAACAAATGATGAGTTGTATGATAACTGAATGGTTATTGTAATCAATCAAAATGTGTCTCGGTCTAAAAACTTGTTAACAAAATAAAGACCTTATTTTACGTTTACGTGTACTTTAGAAAAGGACATCAATTATTGGTTTATATGTTTTTTGCACTTTTAACTATTTAGTAGTAAATATTATGTCAATAATATTCTCGTAAAAGTAGTAAATAAATAATTATTATTAAATCTATACGTAGTAATAATATGATAATATTAATATTAAAAGTAATATTTTATATTTTTACATGAATCATTAATAAATACTGTACTTAAATAAAACAAAAATAAAAAATTCTCATAAGTACAATTTTCATTCAATATTTTACTTATTCAACATGTTACTTTCAGTATAAATTTTAATATAAAAATAGGATTTGTCTTTTACTCCGTTACTTAAAACATATTTATACTTTAAATATGAATATGTATCTAGTATGAATATACCATAAAATATTTTATAGACAAAAAGGACACGAATCTTAATAAATTTCTTATAAACATATTTTTAACTATAAATACAAAGTTCAAACGAAAATTGCATACTAGTACATTTTAAACTTATCGCTGAAAACAAATGTTGAATCACAAAATATTTTATTTTAAAGTAAATCGATATATTAGAAATACTTTCTATATTGATAACTTAATAAATAACTTTAAATGTTTACAAAGCTTTAAATTTGAATACTAAAATACATAATAAGTTAATATGTAACTATCTTATTTGACTATTTGTACTCAACAACAGAATGTAACTTATTTTAAACTAAATGTATCGTAAATTCATGTATAAATGCTTAGTTGTTTGGTCCAAACAAATATGTTTTAAGAGTTTACTATATTCTCAAAATTACACAGAATTTTATGTCATCCAAATATTTATTATTGTATTTTATATGTAAAGGTTAATTGTTCAATAGTAGACTTATTAGTAGAGTTAATGCGAGTGTGTGTGTGTTTGTGTGTGTGTGTGAGAGAGAGGGAGAGAGAGAGAGAGAGAGAGAGTCTGAGAGAGATAGTGAGAAAATTTGATGACAGAGACTGTCTGTTAGGTAAGAGAGCGCACCTATACCTATATCTTCCTTAAAGCATTTTCTTATACAGACGTCTCTCCCACGACACACATGTACTACTCATCTCTCTATCTATATAACTGTATCTCACGGATAGACACCGTATTCGGAAGGGCTGTCAGACGACGACTTGTTGATAGTCTCTCATAAGAGACATTCATATCTATCAGTGTTTTTGTTGTGCAGTTTTGATCACCAAATATCTGCATCTCAATCACATTCATAATGAAAACAATTACTTTATTAGTGTTTGCCATATATTTCACGATATCCATGAAGTGTATCCTTGCGATGGCATATAAGAGATTTAAAGCACCGGAACGCTGGCACTGTATGGACGCTAATAATAGAGGTATTTTGCATCTCATATAAATAACTGTAGTTACTAAATATGCCGTTTTTTATTTGAGTTGTAATTATTTGCTTAAGTATCTCATATTTACTTTTATTAATTTTAATTCTCACATGAATTTCTGTTTGAATATTCTGTTAAGAATTATAAACGAGTTTTGATAAAAAAAGTTTTACTTGACTTCGAGAATATGTGAACAAGTAGTAAATGAATGAGAGCGTAGGTAGGCCAGATAAATGTTACTTATTTTATAATTAGATTATATTAATTTGAACGAAACAAGTATTAATAAAATATATAAATATACTTATTAGTCAATATTCAGATAAAATAAATTTAATTCATTCAATAAAAATGTTAAAAATTCTGTTAACATATTCTTGTACGTGTAATACTCTTAATAACGCTATACTGTACTCTTAATATTGTTATTTTGATACGAAATACAAAATTGTGTAATAATTGATGAAATGTTTTGAAAATGTGTGACATTTGAAGGCATAATAAGCAATGCGATGGAGATCCGGATGAGGACCCCCTCCTATATGCCGACGTCTAGCCAACAGCGAAGGATACTTAAGCTGTTCGAGGACTGTATCAAATCCGGTGAAGGCTTTCGGTTCAAGAAGTCCTACTCTCCCGGCACCACATCATTAGATCCCATACCGTATCGGTATATACCTGTATATACCGATTACTAGAGTTAAGGCTTTTATTGTGATTTTTCAATTATAATTTTTGTTTGCTTGTTTAGTTTTTGGTAATTTATAATTAGTTTTAGCATTAATTTACTTTCATCTGTAATCTAATTACGATAAATACATTTTATATGAAAATCAGTATTACTAGTAATAATGTATATTTATTTCACTTCAATAATTATATCATGTTAGTACTAATACTCAACAAAATCAAAAGTATATCTCTATTTTATTTAATGCATTACATATGAAATACAATTATGACTTAAAATAAGACTTTTTATGTTTAATGAGAATTCTGGTCAAACATTTGATTATATCATACAATAAAACAATGTCTCTCTATCTCTTTGTATGTTTTATCACTGATTGTTTCGTTTTGAAAGATTTTAATCACTCTTTTCTATTATCACATTATTAAATAAAAATTGTTATTTAATTAAATAAACAAAATATTGAAATAAAGTCATTTTGAATAAAACCTTTATTTTGAATGTTTTTTTATCTATAATATTGTTTATGATTTATTAGATTCAATAAAGTTTTGGATACAATGATATTCTTAGTGAAGATTATACACGGATTTTATTTTTTAAAATTAAAATCTAAATTAAATAAAATTAATACTCAAAATATATGCACTCCGCTTTTTTAATAAATTCACTTTAGATTACTACAATTGAGTTTTCAAATTGTGTTACAAAAATGTTGTATACTAAATAAAATAGCTTTGGCATTTTTCACTAACCTGTAAGGGCGCAATATAAAACTATTGAAATGTTATACAATAATGTTAAGTGCAGTAAGCAAAGCTAGTCTACTTTTTTGTATGAAAGTCTTTATGTATTATACCAAATAAACAATTTAAAAGTTATATAAATTTCAATTATTACACTAAAAAATAAAAGAACTAAACCTTTAAAAGTATTGGGCTGAAAATGCTAGTATCTGTCGGTTACCAAGTATAAATTATATAAATAAATATGATTAAGAATTTAATGTCATTGTTTTCAACAATCAACAACATTATAGCTTAAAATAGTCAAATAAATATAGTTAGTTTTTACAAAGGTATATATAGTTTTTAATAGCCTTACATATCTATATTTATTTAAATTGATTTACCATTTAATTCAATAAATTATATATAATATTAAAATCTTATAATACCTGTATAGGCTTATAACATATCGGAAAACTATTTTTATCAATGATACTCAGATTTTACGTCATTAAAACTTATTTAAATATTAATTCGTATAAAATACTTATTATTAGCCTTAATGTATTTCCGAAAATATGGATTATATTTTTATAGTTTACTTGACTTATAACTCGTTAATGTATTTAACATTAGAATTATACAAATGGCATATTATACACATTATAATACTTTGTCTAATGATTACATGTTATAATAATATAAAAATAATATATGGAAAATATGTTTGTAAGTTATATAATAATATATTTAGTTTCGCTTTCAAATGTCTGACTTACGACTCAAATAAAAGATTAGTTTTCATTATTTCTACATTTAATAAAGAGTGGGCTTTCCTTATGCCTTCCGTTCCCTTACCCCTACAGATGTCACAAAAACACATCACTTAAAGAATTTTTGATTTATTTCATGCTAGGTACAATTTATTTGCTTAATTTTCAAATACTGTAATAATGTACAGTATATTTTAATAAATATTAAATGTGCATATAATAATATTTTAGGTTTTCAAATAAATCTTAGTCTCAATAAATTTTTAAGTTTATTGTCATTATATGCGTAAAATAGTAGATGTAAGCCGTATTTATACGTACAGTCGTTAGTTATGATGATAACAAATTGAAAACAAAACTTATCCATCAATTTATCAAATTCCTTACAGACTATCGTTTGGAGTACTTTTAGTTTTATATCGAAATATCGTTAATAGTTTTTCGTCTTAATCACACAAAAAATTGTTTTCCTTTTAATAAATTGCCTAAAATATTGAGAAACATAGGGACACCAGATTAATGCAATCACTTATTTGCTGTAAAAACCTATTGGTTAACAATAAAATGATTGATTGATAAAATAGTTTTGTTTAGTTAAGAATCATAATTATATGTAGGAATCAAATGTTTATAGTAAACGTTGAATACTGTATAATACAGTATACAGTGTATATTGATATAGTGTTTATGTATTCAATATTATAGATAAAAGTATAATGTATATTGCAATTTATGTAATGTTATATTCAGGTGAGAGCTGTTTCTTGTATCAAAATAATGTCACTTAAGTTATGACATTATATTTTTTATACGTTCAACTATAAGGCAAAAGATTTTATTTCATTATATTTAATGCATATTCAAAAAAATATTTTGTGTTATAAAAACCTACACTATCCGCTTTATAAACTAATACCAAGTAATTAAAATCATTAATAGATCAAAGTGATCATTTCTATTACAAAAAACTATTAAACTTATAATTTGTATTCAATTTTTCTATTAAATATTTAATATTAATTACAAAATTTCTATGTAATCTCAATAATATTTGCATTTAATTCCCATTTAACTGCAAAAGTTATTTTCAACTAATTATAGTCAACATGTTAATTATTCTGTAAATGTTAAGTCAAATTCTAGAATTGCACCATATTCATATTATTTTCTATAATTAAATTATTCTTGTATTTTAATAATTCACTATTTGGTATGAATTAACATAATAATTAAATTCTCTGTGCATTTCGCGATGAAAATTACTATTACAATACCGGTAATAATAAATTGTATACAAAAAACAATTAATGATAAAATTAATTTATTTTATTCAAATGGGAATAAAATACAAACAATTGATAATTAAAAATAAAACTTAATGTCAAAAGGTTTGTCTAAATCCCATAATTGATGCTTTATATAAATAAATATTAAATTAAAATCTATTATTCCGATAAATAAATAAGAAAATTGTGCTCAAGTCCAAATATCCTTATAAGAATAAATAACATAATTATTTAGCCTCCATGTTTGCCATGACCACCATGGTGATTACTCCAGTGGCTGGAGTGGTGACTCTTAGGCTTCCATTGATTCCAGTGTGAGTTATGGTGTCCGTGACCACCATGTGAACCATGTTTATGGCCATGGGATCCATGTCCATGTTTGCTGTGACTACCATGAGATCCATGTCCGTGATGTCCACCTGATCCGTGGTGGCTCTTGCCGTGGTGTCCACCGTGTGCGCCGTGGTTCCAACCAGACTTGTGTCCCCCGTGAGCGCCGTGCGATTTCTTAGCGCCTGACTCCCTATCCCACGACCACTTCTTCTCATATCCGTCTCCTTTGTCTCGATTCCAGTGTTTCTGTTCATCGATATGTCATTAATATATGAGTTCTTTATATATTCTATATATATATATAGATATTATATATATTATTAGCTTTATATATATTATTAGCTTTATATATATTATTAGCTTTATATATATTATTAATATATTCTCGACATTTCATTATTCATTCATTTGTCTTATTATTGCATTGAATAGGAAACCACACCAAGTATTGGTCGACAAAAGGCTTAACAATATATTCACTTCAAACCAAACATCACATTAAGATTTTATCGAAAATAAATATTTTGTGAATGAAATTAATTTTTAAAATTGTGTTTTTACTGCTTAATTATTTAACTAAACTCTATGTAACTGTTATAATAATAATAATAATATTCTTATCAAAAAATTTCACAAAACATATTAAGATAAATGAAAAACTTATTTAATTAAGATATTTGCGACATGTCACATACCTTGTTGCCCCAATTACCCCAATGACCCTTGTTATGTCCAGCACCGTGTTTGCCCCAATGGCTTCCGTGTTTGTTAGCTCCGTGTTTATGCCAACCCCCGTGACCTTAATATTCATATTACATTTTTGTTATACTACTTTCTTACAATAAATTATTTATTTCCTTTTCAATGATTTGCTTCAAAAATTTATATTTTAATTAAATTTTAAAAATAAAGCATTTATGTGTTCACTCAAAAATAAAATAATCTTACAGGTATAGATAAGTTTAAGATTTATGGGGTTTAAGAATAATCTTTAATTTTTTATTAAACTTTGTATAAAATACTGTCAATATTATAGAATAAAGAATTTATTTTTTTTGCATAATAACACGGTGGATTTAACTATTGATATAAATCTTAATTTGTTATTCTTACCATGGTTTCCCCAGTGGCCGTGTTTGCCGTGTCCATGATTACCTTTAGTCAAGTAGGGGTTTGTCATTTTAATAAATTTCTTTTGTTAATAATATTTACCCCAAGATTTTCCATGTTTGCCTATATGTTGACAGAAAATATCAATTTTATAGTATTCAATTTATAAAAGAAATTCAAATAAAATGAGTAAACAGTGTTAAAAGAGAAATGTGAAACTTATCTATAAATAACTTTATTGGGTAATCAAATATAATTTGTTTTGTAAATTTAATACTATATCCATCTTACTTAACTTAATTTACTTACAATTAAATTAAATTTACAAATTATAAACAATGCTAATAAATTTTGTAAAGCTTAATTTGTAAAAATATAGACTAAATACTTGATCTACACTTGGTCATTCTTTATGAGTTTATAGCAACAGGGAATATTATACTAATGCGATAATATGAATATTTGTTGAAAATTTAAACAACCAAGTCTATCATAATTAATAAACTGTAATATCTAATATGAGATTCAGAATAGTTGCAATAAATGATACTACATTTCTCTGATATGGTAAATGTATTATGAAATATCAAATATAAATACCCCAGTGTCCGTGTCCAGCATTATGGCCTCCATGTCCGCCTCCCCCTCCATGCGATGAATGGTGTCCGCCATGAGATGAGTGGTGATGTCCGGCGGCAACATCCAGGTCCTTTGTGTCATTTACCACATACTTTCTATCATATTTATATTGACTTTCACTCACTTTAACTTTGGTTACACTTTCGCCAAACACTTCACTGACACTAATACTGAACACAACATAACTCACCAAAACTATGGCTAATACACAGACTTTCATACTATTAATTCAATTATTATATCAATAAATATATGAATCCTGTTTACAATGGATTAGAAAAACTAATCTTAAACTTGAAATTGCGAACCCTTTTATACTTTTTATACATTTTGACTAAACGATAGAGAAATATAGCAAATTGTATTTTAATAATAATTATTTTTCTAAATAATGTTTAATCAAAAACAATTAATGCCTACAAATAGACCACTAAATAGATTTCATATAAAAAACCTATTGATATTGAAATTAAAGCCAGACAATACAACAATTTGTTTTCTATAGAAATCAATAAATAAAAACACAAATAATTGTTTTGATATCAAAAATATTTGGTGACCACAAAAAACCCAGTTTTTAGCTCTAATAATGGGCTAAACCTTAAATCAATGGGACAGTTAGCATAAGTGCTGGTATATTAAGGTGTTGCTGTCTATTGTTAAAAGGTGTTTTATTATTTTTTATCAATACATCGATTAAATATATTTTTACTTTTTTTTCGTAAACAACACTTTTTTCATTAGGCATTTGATTTGATAAGTGAAATGTCATCGGATTTACATATCAAGTGCTAATCGGCGACACTTACCCATTGATAGTGAAAGTCACAATATCTGCCCCTTTTTTGCTCAAAAGAAATTTTACCCTAATATTAATGACCCTTAAAATAAAAATCACATAAAACCAACCGTCCATATCGACACTGATATCAATAAATACTTTTTATTTAGCGTTTCATTACCACCTCTTATAGTATTTAAAATTGAATTATAAGTTTATAAATTGTTATAACTTATAACATAAATTGCAAGTTTGGTATTAATTTGTTAATAATACTGTACTACATTTACATAAAAATAGATAGCCTATAAAACCTAAGGAGTTAATTAATCTGTGGTAATTAACCATTTAAATTTATACTGATTTAATTTCATATTATTATTTTTGAATAAATATTAAATTATAAGAATTACATAAGTTAAATTGATAATCTATAATTAAAGTTCAGTACATACAAATATTTACTAAAAGTTAAAATTCATACAATTTAAAATGTATACTGTATAGTTATTAATTAATTATTTAGGGATTTAATTATCACATTTAAAGCATTGTTCTAGAAATTTAAATAATTGGATAACAAAGTTAAAATCTTTATTAATTAAATGTTTAAACAAACTGAACCCAAGTGTTATACTAAGAGTAGTGCCTTATTATAAGAAATATTAATATTAAAGGTAACGGTCATGTAATAATAGCATACCTTTCTAACACCAAAAACAAATAAAATGATTATAAAAATGGGGACTTTTTGCACACTTTTTAAGACTGATGGCCTGGTATTGAACTATTGGCTTATGTATCGCTCAATTAGCTCTACTCTATTGTATTGTATGCCATAAATTGTTGTGAAGATAATTATGATTTTTTCATCTATTATTCGCTAATTATTATGTTATTTAGTCTGACTTTTTGGTTCTTATGATTTGTATTATTTAATATTATTTTGTTTTTGTCACTTTTTTAGTGAACGATTTAGTCTAGTTTGTTGATGAACCGGATCACCTGAATATGTAGTCAATCTTTTATAATGAATTACTCGCCTATTATTCGCTAATATTGTGAGCACTCTATTAGTCTCACGTTTTCTCCAAATGTAATGTGTTTTTGATTTGTTAAATCATTTATCGCATTTAAGTGCTTATATGAGACACCTTATGATTATTAGTATTATTATTTACACTTTTCATAGTTTTTATTCACTCGTTATAGTCATTAGTTTTATAGCTTAATAGAATTAGATATAAATTTTTATAGCCATTTAGTATTAGTTTAGTTTTAAAAATATATTTTTCAACCAAAATTCCTTTCAAAAGTATCGCTAATAAGTAATAATCTTATAAATCACTCAAACTATTGGCATTAAATTGATGATAACATATAATTTAAATATTTTTAATTAATTAAAATAGATAATTTGGATGGTTTCAAGTACAATTCTTTTTGTTGTTTAAACAAGGAAGTTTTCATAGATTAATGCTATTTTTATCATGATTAATATTGTAATTAGATATGCGGTATCATAATAATAATTTGCATTTGTAACTTAATAATAAATCTATAGATATTAATGACATTGTTACTATTAATAAAACAACTTATTATATCTCATAATAAGAAACCTGTATTAAGTAAATGTCTATTCATAAGCACTGAATATGTAATAGGTATGAAAACACATGATTTATGACAAGAATAACATATACTTTGAAAGCATTTTCATTCATTCAGCGAGTGGTCAACAAAATTGTATTTATTGCACCCAGATGTTTTATATGAATACAAACATATTGCATGTTCAAATAGATACATGTTTTGTGAATTCAATACTGTTTACCATATGAAAGTTATGCAATATTATAATTAATTACTTATTTGTAGGTTGAGATTGACTGGTCTTTTGACAAACAATATGATTACCTTTGAAAATAATCAAACACTGTATGTGTGAATGAGCTTAACTTACTACAATAGTATGATTAACTTTTTAATATGAATAAATAGTAAATTTTAAGTGCAAATAATAATTTAATTAATCATTTCTAAATATTTTACTATAAATATTAAAAATAATAATTCTTGTTTATAGTAAAGTTTCTTTTAATTGTAATGCACGACATACTCATAGATTTAGAAAAGATTAAAATTGTTTAATTAAATTATTTTATGAATTAAGGATTAGATAAAATACAGTATAAACAAATACAGTAAGCTTAATTCTAATAGAAAATACTTTGTGTATTCACTTAGGAATCTTCTTACAGACTCTCTCTCTCTCTCTCTCTCTCTCTCTCTCTCTCTCACTCACTCATTTTATTTAACACTTAACTGTAATACAGAATTACTACTACAGTATATAAACCTAAACTCAATGATAAAGAAATACGGTATAAAGTTATGTATAATAAAACAATTTCCCTGTTATTTAAATAAGCTCGTATTTGAGAATCTGGGAAATTCACGGATTTGTCTTTAGCTATACTATAATCTCACAATTAAATGCTAAATCCTTAACGATTAAATAGTAACACATAGAACTTATAAGATTTTGGTTGAAAAAATTACAATACTTTATAAATTTTGATATAATCATTTAAAACTTAAAATTTAGATTGTGTGTTACAAAAATGAAACAACAGAAAAATTAATCTACAATTACCGGTATTACAAACCAAATTTCCTATGAAATAACTAAATGCTAGTTTATTAATTTAACATTTACAAATAATGCAAATAGCCAAATATAAATAAACATTGGTTGCATATATTTGTCATTTAATTTAGATGAATAGATAAGGGAGAAAATATTAGATAATAAAACAGACTATTAATATGCGTTTACAGACTAATGACTGGAAGGCATTACACTTTCACATACAAAACAAAATTGTTTTAAACCAATTGTACAGCGCTTTTGGGTTACAGTTACAGACATTGCACTTAAATACAATTAACATATACTAGTAATATGCCAAGTATTGTATAATTATTATGCAAATTGTCATAACAGGCAATATTCGGGTGTAAATATCGGCTTTAATAATACGATAAATAGTTTTTAGACTAATATTGTATCCGATGTTACGGAAGTGTATGGTTTTTGCTTACATTTCTCTCACTTGGAAATACAACTTCATAATTGCCTATAAATAATATTAATTGAATAATTAATAACGAATTGCTGTTGGAAAGTATTTATTTGTAATTTTCAAAAAACACAAAATAAAAAACAAATTAGCCTTTCATTAAGAGTCATTTAAATTTCGTGTTTTTTCACTGAACACTGAATTTATGGAAATTATTTAAATGCAGATAAAAAGCATTTAAACTATTGTTTTTGTTTCACAAAAATATTCAGATATATTGCGAGCGGAGTTGAAAATAAAAATAAGTTCATTTCCAACAAAAGTATATAAAGTGAAAACTCTTTGAAAAAAATTCAATCCATAATCAGAGAGTGTTTCCAAAAGGTTTTATGAGTTTTTCATAAATGGATACAATTTTATTCAAATTGTTTTCAGTTGTGTGTCTATTATGTGTCCATACATTTGCCACCGAAACTAGTGATACCAAAAAGAGTGGTCCTCCCAGTGCTGGCGGAGCCATCAAAACCATCGGCGATGTCCTACAAGACCTTCAGGTGGCCGCCGGTGAACATTATGGCGGTGGCGGAGGCGGTGGTGAGGGGTCAGAGGGACACGAAATGGGAGACTCTAATAAGGGTTTAAAAGGGGGCTTTGATAAGGGGTCCAAAAAATATAGTGGCAATGAATATAATAAAAAGGGCGGCGATTGGGGTAAAACTGGTCATAAGAAGTACGATTCCGGTGACAAATGGGGGACTAATAAGTGGGATAAGAAGTCAATGAATCAATTCGGGGACAAATGGGGCGAGAATTCTGGCAAAAAGAATGCCGGAAATTGGGAGGAATGGGCCGATAATTCCAAGTGGAAGACCGATAAGGGAAAGGTATGACTCTATGTCCATAAATTTATATTTAATCAAAATTAATACCTAGCTCTATACAAATTTTAATTTATAAATATTGTGAATGTACGATAAATGAATTTGATGAATTATACCGATTGATCACTTGTTGGACAGGGATTTGAGAAACACTATGAATACGACAAGTCTGACGGACATAAGAACTCGTACGGAAAGAAAGGCAAGAATGATATGTCTAAATATGACAGCAAACATGGGTTAGTAGTCTTTAAATGAAAATATTAGACCACTTGTTATAAACATAATTATTGCCAATTCAGTGAAAAGCACAGCTTCGACAAGAAAGACATGGGAGGCAAAGACAACCACGGCAAGAAAATGAACCAGGGCAACTCTGTGAGAAACTAGCAATTAATTATACAAACATAATGTGTAACCAATTATGATATACCAGGGATACCAAGACTGGGGAAAGCAGTACAAGAGCGGTGGCAAAGAGAACAAAGGCATGAATTTCTATGAGTCGAAAAAGCCGTCCACTTATAAGTTTCAAAACCATCGGCGATGTCCTACAAGACCTTCAGGTGGCCGCCGGTGAACATTATGGCGGTGGCGGAGGCGGTGGTGAGGGGTCAGAGGGACACGAAATGGGAGACTCTAATAAGGGTTTAAAAGGCGGCTTTGATAAGGGGTCCAAAAAATATAGTGGCAATGAATATAATAAAAAGGGCGGCGATTGGGGTAAATCTGGTCATAAGAAGTACGATTCCGGTGACAAATGGGGGACTAATAAGTGGGACAAGAAGTCAATGAATCAATTCGGGGACAAATGGGGCGAGAATTCTGGCAAAAAGAACGCCGGAAATTGGGAGGAATGGGCCGATAATTCCAAGTGGAAGACCGATAAGGGAAAGGTATGACTCTATGTCTACAAATTTATATTTAATCAAAATTAATACCTAGCTTTACAAAATGTAATTTTACAAATATTGTGAATGTATGATACATGAATTTCATGAATTATACTGATTGATCACTTGTTGGACAGGGATTTGAGAAACACTACGAATACGACAAGTCTGA